GGCAACAAGGCTTAGGATCTCTTTTAATTCTATCAACGCTGTCTTTTTTTGCCAGCGTCATAAAACGTGTAACATCATCTGACCTGCGATTTACCAAGCAGAGGACTACCAATGTTAAGTTCACGCGCAAGCTGACGGTACCATTGCTTAGAAAATAGCCTGCAAGCAGCCTGACAAGAGATGACAATCTTAGGCGGCCAAATCGATGTCAATTATTTTGGCAATTGTAGCCGCGTCAGGCAGCCAACACTAGGGAAGGGGGCCGTCGAGGAACGGTGGCCAACTGCTAAGCGCGGGGGAGCGGTTCGGTAGTCGCTGCATGAGTCGGCATGAAAATCCCCACTACAATTTCCCGGGATTCGTTCGAGGGCAAAAGGCATGGGAAATCAAAAACTCGTGCTTATTTTTAGAGATATATCATGTTTCTAATTTAGGTAAAAATTTTCAACGATTTTTATGATTTATTTATGTTTTGTCTTATGTTATCAGCATCCAGTTGCGCGAAATTTTAACATGCATGCGGTCTGTCCCCTCTTTGCCTTTGAGTGCGTCATAAATAACTCCCTTGATACGACCGTCCGAAAAGTACCTTGACACTTCTATGACACATACACAACAGCTCTGATTGAACTTGTCTCCCCAGAATCGTGTTCTGAGCCCAAGAAAACCGTTTAGACACCATTTTGTTCTCGAAATCCCAGACGGTAACGTGTCAAAAGAAGCTCTTCGTTGATGGAGGTGGCATGGGTGGCTGCCTGTTCGTTATTACATGCTTGCGGTACGGTATGATTTAGTCTTATGGGTCAAGAACGCGAACGTTACATGACAAGCTGGCACATGCGAAGCAAAAATACTTTCAAAGTTAAGTTTACTGCTCTTTTGTAGGTCCGATAATAGACGGTGTGCTCCGCCCCTGTCTAAACACATTTTCTGCTAATTTCAGAACATGGTGTCTGTAGAATGCAACAAAATCAAATAGCGTACGAGCTGAACAAGTGCTAGTGGGAAAATAGGACTGACGCATAAATACATATGACAAGACTGTGCAAGGACCGCGTGGAAAAATGTCTGAAATGCTACAAGGGCTTACAAAACACAGAAAATTTCCCAGGGGGAAACATGGGAGCTGTGCATGTGTGTTATTTTAAATTGGATCAGTACTCATACATGGAACTCAGCTATCCGAGTCAAGCATACCGGTTATGGGATATCAAGGTCGCCCGGATGCCGGGAACCTGGAATATATATATATATATTATATATATATATATATATATATATGTATATATATGTATATATATATATGTGTATATATATATGTATATATATATATATATATATATATATATATATATATATATATGAGAAGTGAAGGAAATCGCTGAGAATGACTACAGCCGCTGCCAATTCGTCCAGCGCAGAAGGTGTTTTCTCTCTAAAGGTGCAGGTTTAGACAGAGCTTCACACGGTTTACTGATAAAAGAGTCTATAAATTGCGTTACATATTCGTAGCCCCCGGCTAGTCCCGCGCTGGTTACAACGGGTGGGCGCCCCGGCCCCCTACACTGGTTACTCTGTTAAAACATCTTAGCAGGTTTTGACGTGATTTGCGACCACGCCTGAGTGAAATATCCTGCTGCTTAAAACATCCTTCCTCATTGCTGCGTCTGGGTAACGCTCCATCAAACGTTCTTTTCAGCCTCCATACGTAACGCAGTTTATGGACAACCCCTCATATTGTTCATCGGCCTCCTGCACAGGAGCATTTCGACCCAAGTACGTACAGGACGCTGCTGATCAGAAAATTTCAGACCAGTTCAAACATTTCAGTGCAACAAAAGCACGACCACACATTCACTGCAGCGCAATCAATTGCCGCTGTTGGGCCGTTTTAGGAAACCAGCTTGTCGCATTAAATAAGTCATGCGGCACGCGATGGAGCAGGATGCAGGGGATTTCATTGATAACGTAGGCATATCATCGCGTTACACAAGGCCTTGAGCGCAAGGTCTCGTGAGTCCTTTACAACTTCTCTGCAATCAATGACACACCCTGTAAACTGCACGCAAAGCGTGATGTCGTTGCGTAACAACGACCGCTCTCACGGTGGTGATATGAAGGGTGTTTATATATATATATATATATATATATATATAATATATATATATATATATATATATATATAAGAATAATAATTAGGTCCGGTCTGTTGCAGAATACATTGTGGAATAGCCTATTTATCCATGAGTTATGAGTTCCATGAGAATGATTCACGTGAATTAACTCAAAGAATCGCGCGCGCTCTCATATTTGATCGGAAACTGTCGTGAAATCAAGTCACATGCCTGGCTTCAATGTTTTGATGTAAGAGCCAATCGACGTTTTTGCGTTGCTTCACGCACGCAAACGGTGTACTCCACAACCGATTGCTCCACAATCGTATTGTGCCATGAGTGTAGACATGCCTTAACAAAGCTGAGTTGTGCTATTTGGGCGCTTGTCGTGAGCATTAAAATTTGGATGATGGTCGTGTAAAACAACGAACGGTGGGCAGTGTGCGTATATCGTCTAGCATGACGCAAGCGCATCTCCCGCCTTTTGAGACGCACGCCCGACCTCCGAGTAATGCGCAGTTCCTGACCAACACACGTTCAGATGTCTCCCGCCTCGATGCATTAAATTTTGAACGCGTACGCATCGAATAGCTCTCGTGGCCCGCACATCCAGCGACACGACGCGACTCGAACGCAGCATCGACTGCGTCGCATCGACTGCAGCAGTGGTTCTGCCGTGGGCCGCCAGGAGCGCTGGCGTCGTGAGCGGTGCACCGGAAATGGGAGATGACATGGTTTCCAGACAGACGAGTGGGCGGCAAAGGTCGGCCGAGTGGAAGCCAGCTGGCGGTGCCGGCAGCGCCTCCGGGGATCCGCC